CACGTCATTCTTTATGATCTTCCAGCAAGACTAGAAGAAAGCTCCAATGAAGCCATCCAGGCCCGGTGACTTAACGGAAGGAAGGAGAAGACGAGTGCTTTCATCTCATCAACATGAAAGGGAGCATCCAGATCAGACAGGTCGTGGGTCGGGATGTCCACGTTCTCCCATAGAAGCCCCGACGATCTCGGGCATGGCATGCCGAGGTGTTCTTGGAAGTGTGATAGCAACACCCTTTCCTTGTCCTCCTTGGTGATTGCCACTGCGGTGGTTGAAAACGGCGTCTGAATGAGGTTCTTTCGCCTGCGGCCATTGACCCTCACATGAAAGAACTTGGTGTTTGCATCCCCAAGCTTGATCCCAGTAAGGCGAGAGCGCTGCCGTAACTTGATCTTTTGGAAAGAGAGGAGGCCCAAGTACATAGTCTTCAAGTTACGCCTCAAATCACGCTTTGCCGCAAACAAGGGTCTATTCTCCTCCGCCTGATCTAGGCGCCAAATCACCTCCTTCACAATCACAATCTAAGTCTTGAGAACTCTCACGCTCTGGATGCCTTGAGTGCCTTCGCCGTGCGCCATAGCTTGATGTGAATGCGACGGATGGTGTTCTGATCAAGGATAGGCTTATTCCATGCCGAGGCCACAATCTCATGGAACCTGGGAGCCGAAGCCAGAACTCCTCAAACTTGAAAGAACGCTTTCTTCTTTCCTCCACGTCACCCTGTAGGAACAGAGGGGCATGTTCTGAGCAAGCCGTGGTGGGCATGTTCTGAGCAAGCCGTGATGACGGCTTGGAGGTGGTCATTGGGGAATAGCAAGTCCTAGTCATCGGAGTGTTAGAAGTGGTCGAACTTTGTCAACACGGGGTTTGCCTAGGCATTGGACCAGGTGTATTTTCTTTCAGCAAGGTGTAATTCTTCCAACTCCAGCTGGTTTGAAACACCACGAAAATTCCCAATCAGGCGCCTATTGATGTTCACGTTGTTCTTGTCCGCCGCTTTGGTGATGAGATTGATGTGAGGGGGACTATTTTAGTATAATTACATTGCCCACACTTCCCCCCATAAATTTGAACTTTTGAATGAACTGGTTCTTGCAACTCGATAAAAATATTTACCTTTTTCTACATAAAAGGGTAGACCCATTATTTAAATTTTGTGTTAATCTATCATATTGTTTCTTCGTTATTTCTTATCTACATATATGATGGTGTAGTAAATTATTGCACTAAGCTAATTTCTCCTTTCGTATAGTGTTTAAGATTAATATTCAAACAAGATATTATTGAGAACGTAAACTTGATAATTAGTGCAAATAAGAAAATGAACAAAGACAGGTTTGGTTTTTACAAAAGGCACCAGCGCGTGAATATCTTAGATCTTAGCGACTTGGCAAAATATTAGAATCCCCATGCATCAATTCGCTGTACACTATGTGTATGACCATGTATGATTTTGAGCTGATATTTGCATGTTTTGTTGAACATAAATCAGTTAATATAGGAACAGCGAGATCATGATAGATTAACACACCTTCTCAAACTTCTTAGTGAACCATGTGTTAAGTTCTTTGGTACAAGCCAGGTTACTGATTATATATGATTGGAAATCACAGTATGACAGGTAGACGCCAATATCTATAATGAATAAAATAAAATGAGATGCACGTGAATCAAAATGGAGGTATCCAGTTATCAACGCATGTCAATCTAAGTAACAAATGGTAAGATGTGCAATTTTACACGTGAAGGGCAACACTAATACCAGTTTCTGAATGATAGTAAGACAACTCCTGGATCGTAGCAACAAGTTTTCCAAGTACTTCATTCATCTGAAGCAAAGGAGGGGAAATGGAAAAACAAACCGTCACATAACAAATTCTTCTATTATAGTACTGCAACGAATTCCTATAAGAAATAATAAAGCCAATTAGAAAGAACCACAATTGGTATTTCTCACCTATCAAATGTCAGACAGGAAGATAATATAAAAGAACTTAAACATATGTATAGATTTGTGTAAACTTGAAGTCCAGTAAACTCTTTTTGCTGCCAACGTGTGTCTTTTTGAGTGAACACGACCAGTAATCGGCCACAAATATCAGCCACAAATGATAGCTAGTTACTTGGTTAATTCCAGAGTACTGCCATGCTCCCGCTGATTTATAAACTAGACAATGAGCAGTGCAGACTACAGTTACTTAACACGATACAGCAGGGAATGACACAAGGACAGTGGTATATGGTATACTGTTTCCAGGTTGACAATAGAAACCAACATTTTACCTCTAAACTTCTCTTGGCAAGTTCCTCATCAAATCTCGCAAGTTTTCCAGTTGCGCTAGTTTTAGCAGATGTGCGGGATTTCTTTCCCTGCGTGATGGTGGTAGCGTGTGCTGTAAGCAAATCAAGCTGCCATTCCAGAGAAGCGAGCTTTTTTTCCAAATCAGAAACTTCAGCTCTAAGTGCTAGTTTTGAGTCGCTAGAAAAAATCAAAAGAAAATCCTTGGTCAATGGAGAGATTAAAACATACTGTTAGCAAGCTAGATGCTAATATTGAGCAAACCTTGACTAATTCTCTTTCTTTTTCTAGTATGTGACTACTAAGCTACTTGCTAGACCCTCTGATATCCAAATCAGACTTGATGGTGTTACAGAACTTAGCAGATCAGAGATTTAGGCAGTAATTCCATTGTATAACACACGCAAAATCAAACGAACTAGATATGCAGTAAGATAAAAAAAACATGATGGGAGAAAAACATAGCAAAGTTGCTGTTTCTGCAGATATTGGTGATGGAAAGGTAAAGGGGAAATGCAGCTCAAAAGACGAGGGCCACACAATACCAATTGAATCACTTGTTGGATAACACTAGAGCAACATGGCATACCGGATGTCTCCCAGACTTTCTTCCGACAAGAATGTGTATTCATGGTTCTCTCCAGTTTCTGAGAACGCCGAAATACTGTCGAAAGCGGAATCCAAGTCTTTCCCCTAAAAATGGTACTCATATTAGGATCATATCCCTAGCCCGAGACAGCTATATTCCAACAATCGACTAAAATTATATGAGCAATTTCTTTCAAAAAAAATTATATGAGCAATTGTAATAACTTAATAGTCCAACTAAGTTTAATGAACAAATGGAGTTAAAAATCTCTATACCTCCAAAAGCTTCCCTTCTAGTTCAAGCTGATCATAGCTGCATAGTCCACGAAACAAGAAGACCAGTTTAAGCCTCAGAAGGAAGAGAATCAGTACGTGTAGGGGAAATCATGATGTAATACGGGATTTAAAATCACAATCTGCAGCTATTCTTCATGCAGCAAAACTTCTGTTATCCTTAATTAAAGAATAGATAGTGCTATGGTATGATGAATCACATTCCTAAAGCATGTGGCGTCTGTTCAAAAAATAAAAGCATGTGGCGACGAACATTGCAGTTGTGCGCTTTTCTCTCCAAAGCCCTCCACTTCCCTGAGATTCACAGACAACTTTGTACTCCACATCACATTACTATATTGAATCCAAACCCATACTCCCTTCGTTCCAAAATAGATGACCCAACTTTATACTATTTACTTTAGTACAAAGTGGGTCATCTATTTTGAAACGGAGGGAGTAATTTTCAGGCCAACTCGAACCAGAACCCCACCCGCAAGCCCGAACAGCGCCTTGCATTGCAAATGCACATTGCACATCTCACAGTGCAGACACATGCCCCACCCATCGCGTTCGAAACAACCCCACCGAGCAGACGACCTTGACAATCCTTGCACCTGCGCTACCTAGCGCCTGGACACGCTACGATTAGAGAAATTTCTAGAGGGTTCGCGGGACAGATCGGTATGTACAGTTCGAGGTCGGAGGCGGAGAGGACGTTGGCGCGGCGTAGGCGGGCGGCGATCCACGCGAGCACGCGGCTGGAGTCGTCTCCCTGGAGGAACGCCCAATCGAGGCTCTCCGGGTCGAGCGGATCTCCGCTGTCGAACCCCGCGGCGGCCAAGGCGTCGCAGAGCTGCTTCGCGCTCATCGCCGGCGGTATCGCGTTGATCGATGCGTGCGGAAATGGGAGTAGTGGTGGGCCCGCGGGATGGGTGAGGTTTTTTTTTGACATGGGTGAGGAACTGGTGGGGCCGCCAAAGCTGGGGCACGGCCTGGCCAATGCATATAGGCATGTAAGGCCTTGTTAGAGGAATGCTTAGAAAAATAAACCGAGATTTTTTGAAACACCGGTGCCTATTTCTATAAGAGAGACGCTTAGTTAAGCGTCTACCTGATACAAATAAGCATCGGTGCTTAAGAAAAGTCTGGTTTATTTCTTTAAGCATCTCCCCTAAGCACCTCCCATTGTACAAGACTTAAGGTAGAATGGAAGGTGCTTAGAAGAGGTGCTTATAGAAAAATAAACCAGGATTTCCTTAAGTATCGGTGCTTATTTGTACAGAGTAAATATTTAATTAAGTGCCTCTTCTATAGAAATAGGCACCGGTACTTCAGAAAAATCCGGTTTATTTTTCTAAGCACCTCCCCAACCATCTCCCATTGTACAAGGACTAAGAGCATCTCCGGCCGTTGCCCCCATGCGGCGATTTTACGCGCCTCCTGGGGATCGCCCCAGACGTGGGTTTTTTATTTTTAAAAACCTGAATTCGGCAAAGTTCGGCTAAATTCGACAAACCTGACATTAATATTCAACATGTTCGGCATTACATAAATTATTTAAAAAAAGACATCTACGGGGCGAAGAAGTCGCCGCGGTCCACCTCGTCGATGGCGGCCTTCTCCTTCTTGACGGCGCGGCCGCCCCAGCTGGACCCCTGTCCGGCGTCTCTAAGGTGGACCAGTGGTGGTGGCGCGTCGTCGTTGTCGTCGAGGACGACGACGCCTCCCTCGTCCCGGCCACGGCGCCGAGCTTCAAACCGCTCGTAGGCGGCGTGCTGGCGCTCCAGCTCCAGCTACCCCAATGGACGTAACCGGCTCTGCTTTCGCGGTCTCAAAAGGAGTTGCGCCCAGTCATCGCGCGCCCATTTGAAGGCCGCCGCGTCGTTGAGCTCCTCCTCCTTGACGCCGCCGGCGAGCCCGGGCTCCGTCTTCATGACGGGGAGCCCCGGATCCGTCTTGACGGCGGCGAGCCCCGGCTTCCTCTTTGGCTTGAGGAAGCGCGGAGGAGCCGAGGAGGGGGCGCGCCTGCCACCCTCGTTGATGACGATGCCGCCGTTGCAGGTGCGCCGGCCGAGCGGCGCCTCCGCGGCAGGCTCGGCCTTGACGCCGAACAGCGCCGGCGAGCCGGAAGAGTGGGAGGAGGAGCGGGAGGACGAGGAAGAAGAGGAGGAGCCGAACCTCCTGGGCGCCCATGGCCCGGCGCTCCGGCGAGGGGTGGGACGGACACCGCGGCAGGGTATGCCAGCAGCAGGTTATTGCCGCCCTCAAGGTACTGCAGCACCTCATGGAGCGTGCGGCCCAGGACGCCCCACCAGACGCGGCGGCCGTCGCTGTTCTTGACGCTGCCCACCATCGGCGCCCCGTTCGTGGACGCCAGCCGCTGCGCCTGCCACCGCTGGAAGTAGTCCACCCATGTCACGTGTTGTCGGCGACGTACTAGGGAGGGCGCACTGCTCCTCCGTGAGGGACGACCGTACGCGGTCGACCTCGGCGGTGAAGACGCCGGGGCGCGCGTCGACGTCGGGCATCGGGGGGGACGCCGCCGTTGCTGAGCCTCCACCCCATCGGCCCGGCACACATGTCCGGCGACGCCGGGATGTTGGCCTCGAAAAGCAGCCACGCCTCCCACTCATGGACCGAGCGGCGGCCAAAGCCATTGGCCGTCGTGGCGTCGTCGGGGAAGCGTTCGACCATCGCTGGAGAGGGAAGGGAAGGGGAGGACGGGGGAGCTTGGCGGCGCGGACGGGAGAGAACAAAGACGGGGGAGCTCGGCGGCGCGGCGGCTGGTTTGGGCTCGGGCTGGTGTGGCCAGCGGCGAGTTTTATAGCTCGCGCCGTGTGTACACGTGGCGGGAGGGGAGGCGTCGCCGCGCCGCCCGTGAGGAATCAATGGCAAGGCTGACTGGCGGCAGCCTTGCCATTGATTTCCCGCGGGAAACCGAGGCGCTCTGTGGGAAGACGAGGCGTCGTCTCGCTGACGCGGCTGGCCCGCGATTCTTTCGCGTCAAAAACGCTCGCCCCGGTGCCCCCGGGCCCCCAGCGTGTCAGGTTCGGCCTAGGTACGTCGGTGTCAATTTCGGCTCAAGCCGATGAAAAACGGGCACCTGGGGCGTGACTGGGACATTTTTTGGGCGCCAGCGCGGGAAAAACGTCTAGGAAAGGCCTGTTGGGGCGCGGCTAGAGATGCTCTAAGATCAGATGTAAGATCCTCTATAGAAAGTGGGTGCTTGAAGAGAAAAAAATGTGTTTCGGTGTAAAAAGGGGAAAAAATAAAGTAAAGAGTAGAGATGCATGCCATGTATGGGTATTGCTTGATGATGCCCACTAGTGATAGTTTGTATTGGGGAAAAAAATTAATATAAATGCCTCAAATTATTTTTTTCTTATAAAGCAGCATATCCCTATGCCACCTTAGTTCATGCCCTTAAAGGCCTAGCACTTACGGTCAACGTCGGCCCTTTTATAAAAGGGTCGTGTCGTGCTGGTCCAAAGACCCCTAGATCCCTAAAAAAACAAGCCCCCTTTACTGGACAGATTTCTAGCACATTTTTATTAAAGACACTGATGTATTTATAAAGATGAGGTCACTAATGCGGTTTTGAGAATTGTGTAAGGGGGTAGTGATGGGCCACCTACTACCTACTACGGGTAGGGTCAAAAGTAGACATCTAGGACCCCACATCAACAGCAGCGAGGCCCCCGAGCCACAAGCGCACTCAGGTGTTCACCAATAATTATTTCACTCGGATGTCATCCATCCAATCGGATGTTGTCTGGCCACTCGGCCGCTCCGCAATCACTCGGCTACCCACCCGCACTTGGATAAGGGAGGTAAAGAGACCGCGCGGGATCTGAAGCGACCAAAGAGCACGACGCATGGCTTTACTAGCAATTAAACCTTCAGTTATCAATAGTAACGCATGCAATAAACATATTCATCAACCCGTCCTTGTAATGGGCTAGCTCAAGGGGCGGCACACTATATCTGCCCCATGGCACTTGGAGAGGGGTTGCTCATGTCCTGTAAGTGCACAGGGCTATTGTAGCACTTTTGTTATGATAAGTAGAGTGATGAACCCACATGGAGCTTATAGGAAGGCACCATAAACCCCGCAATTACGTTGTCACTTTCATGTAGCCACGTACGCACCCAAACCGGAGTTTGAAAATAGTCTACTCTATAAGTTGCTAGTGAAACTGGAATAAAAGGGGTAATTAACTAAACTACTAATAAGAGAGTAAAAACGGGAAATAAAAAGATGCAAAGTTAGTGGTGAAGGTGCTTGAGTAATAAATGTTCGGGGGGGGTCTAGAATCACTACCAGATATGAACTATTGTATCCTCTAGTAACTGGTCAAATGCATAAGTGAGCAGAGCTGGGTTCAAAACATGTTCTACTTGAAGTAGACTTTATGCCACGCACGCCACCATCATAGTCTTCTCCATAGGCTTTCAGCTCATGATAATTAAGGGTTACCCCGTGGACGCGGCCTCTCTAAGGGTTCTCTATACTCCCTTATCAATTGTGATGATAGGGAATCAAAGGCTTTTAATGTCACCTTGAATTACCCCAATGCCCCAATCCTTCACAACGACAGTAGGTCCTCTACGGTCAATCATGACAATAGTGCGAGCGAGGCCTCTTCTCAGCACTCGTGAGAATACTAACTCGAATCGAGAACATGTAATATTGGATCATACCAAGAATCATATAGGGTTCAACCATATCCTCAAGAACTAGTACAATTACTCAAACATATGCATGAAGGTTAGGGTCAAGTTACAAGCCGGCATTAAGCCGGTGAAGGAAGAAGGTGATGCGGAGCATCCCACGGTCATCCCCATGGGCCTACCTTTGTCTCCCCAAGTGTCAAGTGGACCGATGACACGAGCATGTGCAAGAGATCTCGAGACCGAGGTGACATCTCTCCTCTCGCGACTCCCTTTTGAATCACATGAGACATGGCTACTACCTCAAACGGAGACACTTTGTATGGCCAGGTACCAAGGACCAACCATGAAGAAGCTGAGGAGCAAGGTCGCATGATGGAGGGAGAAGAACGCAAAGACGAAGAAGAAAAGCAGCAAGCCAGAGCTTGACCAAATGATTCGGACCGTCGCCTGGATGATCCGGACCAAGCCCAGATGATCGGAACCCCGGCCCGGACGATCCGGGTAACGTGCCCGAAGCCACAACACTCAACCGAGTGAAGCTGGATCATCCATACCAACACATGGATCATCTGAACTGCGATCCGGACAACCAGACCCGCGACGAATGCTACGACGCAGCCGGACGATCTAGACACCCGGATCATCCGGACCCTGCCTGCGTGCATGACTTGGGCTGAGGCCCATGTACCTCTATGTGACGCCCCGACTTAATCGTGCACTAATCATACACGCAAATGTGCACAATCAAGATTAGAGACTCATGGGAAGATGTCACAACAAAACTCTAGACACAAAATTAAAGTCATACAACTTCATATTACAAGCCAGTGCCATGAAGGCATGAGTACCTAAGTCAGCGGAAGAAACAACATCTGAGTACAAACATAACAAGTCTGCCTTAAGAAGGCCAGCAAAACAATAATAACGAGATCGAAAAGGCGCAGGCCTCCTGCCTGGGAGCCTCCTAACTACTCCTGGTCGTCGGCTGTCTCCATGTAGTAGTAGGCTCCGTTGGGGTAGTAGTAGTCGTCGGTGGGATCAGCTGGCTCCTGGACCTGATCGCAGCAATCGGGAGATGGGGAAAGAGGTAGCAAAGCAACCGTGAGTACTCACCCAAAGTACTCGCAAGAATTACATCAGATCTATACTAAGTATACATCAATATCAAATGAATGGGGCTATATGTTTGGACTA